TTTGTTGGAAAAGGTCTCACCGGGAAAGCTGTTGCGGCGGAAAGGAGACAAGACGCCTGCTTCAGAGAAGGGAGGTTGTGCCTAGGGGAAAGGTCCGGCGGCAGAGATCCATTCCGGTGGTTTTGTGTGTGCAATGGCGCCTCGAAAGATGTGCCTGGGAGAAAGAAAAACTAAACCATTACGAATTCTAAGTATCGAATCTAGTTAAATAGAATATCTAAGTTTTGAGAGTATGATTAGTAAAAGCAAGAGTGGTGAGATAAATAATGAATTAACTAATGGAGGAGAAAAGCGTGTGCATCAGGGATATCGTAAGAATTATAGACTAATTTTGTAAAGCCATATATCTAAAAGCCTTTATTACTCAACTTTTGCAGACAATAATTCAGGAACAAATGCAGTAACAATTCATGTTGATTAACATTCACAAACTCCATAATTAAACTTTCACAGCTTATGATGTCATGCTCGTCTATGCTATCACATACATTCTTAAACAAAACAAAGCAAAATAATTGAACGAATTGCATAATCATAAATCGAAAAGTAGAACACTTGTAAATAGTTATGCAACTCATTCAATTATTTGCTTTGTAATGGGTGATGTGGCAGATGACGTGCCAGCTAGTTTAGTTCATTGTAGTTTACAAACTCATATGTTGACTCATCATTATTGATGGTTTGACTTGGTCAATGAATGTATTAGCCATTACTTTGTAGTTTAGGTATGAAATTAAAACAAAAATAAAGTTGAAGTAGAATTTAGCACGCTCCAAAAGTTCATGTATGAATCCTCACACATATCAAAGTTTGGGTACAAATTAGCCATTATCTCGACACAATATTTGTCTGTGTATCCTACCCGGTGGCAATTTAGTTAGCCAACCTGACAACGGATCCAGAGAACTTGGAACAGAAGTGAAAACGAAAGTGACAAAAAAATCCGGCAAAGAATCGAATAGGTTTCCGATAGCTGAAGAGAGGTATATTAGAGCTTGAAGATGAGCTAGTGAGAGAGACGAACTAGTGAGAGAAAGTAAAAGATAAGATAAGTTTATTATTCATCTGTTACATTCATCAATGTATCGTTACAACTATATATACTCTACCAAACCGGTTTAATACAGATAACCGGTATATAATTTATTCCAATATCCC